CTATCTATCTATCTATCTATCTATCTATCTATCTATCTATCTATCTAAATCCATTCAGTGCTTCACACTTTCAAATAATTCATTAGTACTCACTTGAGATAATACACAGACTGTGGTAGAACTGAAAAGGGCTCGTTGGCTATAGACCACATCACCACAGAAGGATGGTTTTTGTCTCGGCGTACAAGCTCATCCATGACATCTAGATGGTGGGCCAAAGATATATTTCCAAAAGACTCACTGTAATAGCAAAGCACAAAATGTACATCTCAATGAACTGAGGCTGACAAAGTACACTCATCTAAGATGCAAAGGTTTAACCTGCAACTGTTCTGTTAGACTGAAGTGTGGCTATTTCCCTTAAAGTATATAAGCATTACTCTGTTTTCTCAGCCAAAAGGCTAGTATTGCAAATGTGTACATCACACCACATCAGTGATTCATGTCAGACCTTCTATAAAGATAGATGTGTTACAACTTCTACCCTATGAGACAGAAGGAAGTTCTATCAGGTTTTCAGAAACAGTAGTGATGGAAAAACAGCTGACGATTCCCCTGTTTTGACCCCCTAGAATACTTAAACACACCTAAAAGTCAAAAGATTGTGAATGGAAACACTTACAAGTCTACTATGCCCGCTGCCGGAGACTCGTCGATCACTACGATGCCATAGCTGTCACACAGCTGCATGAACTCCTCAGCATAAGGGTAGTGGCTTGTGCGCAAAGAATTGGCCCCCAACCACTTCATTAGGTTGAAGTCCTTAATAATTAGGGGCAAGTCCAAACCTCTACCACGAATCTAAAACAGGGGGTTAAAAAAATTATGTTTTGCTCACAAATTTTATTCATAATAACGACAGTCAGTTTTCTACGCAAATGAAAAGACCGAAATACAGTATTTATTTAAATCTAAAAGTAATTTAGAACTTTGTAAAGGCTTTGCTTCTGTCTGGTGATACTCACATCAGAGTCTTCATGCTTGTTGATGCCATGGAAATAAAAAGGCTTGTTGTTGATGAGAAACTGGGTGCTGGTTACTTTAACCGTGCGGATGCCAACTGGTAGCGTATAAACATCTTCAAATGATGATCCCTTACCATCAGCCTTGAGACGAACCTAGAAGTTAGAATGCAAATGCCAGAATCATAAAAAGAAATCAAGCGTTCAGCTTTAGACATTGATTTTGGCTGTTTTCACACCCGACAGTCTGGTAGACTCGGTTCGGTTGGGGACCAATATTTATAACATTTTGTTTACATTTGAGCTGGTGCGTTTGCATTCACACTGTGCAGTCGAGTCAACCTGTTCAAACCAACCTGTTCCCCCACTCGCCTGTGGTGGCGCTGCACCAAGAACTACTGAAAGAAATGACACAAAAACCTCTGAAGACACTTCTTCTTCTTCTTCTTCTTCTTCTGGAACTAAAATCAAAAACGGAGTGGCGTCAAGTTTTAGCGGTTTTAGGAGTTCTATTTTGTCATTTTTCAACAATGGACTCAGCATGAGTGGACGATGAGGCAGAAGACCATGGAGAATGTTGTTTTTCACACAAGGCAGCTGACAACTCCATATGAGATAAGAAAAATGCGTGTTTGTTTGCCGTGCGTTGTACTCCACTTCCTGCTTGTGGAGCGGTGCCCGGTCTGCTTGCATTCACACTGTACTCGTACAGCGCTAGAGTTTTCTTTTACTGGACCAAGACCTAGGTTTTTAGGCTGGTCAGAGTTCGCCCTTTTGTTCCGTGACAGAGTTTGATGGCGTGTTCATACCTCCCCAAACGAACCGGACTTCCTAGGCAAACGGGCTAGAGTTTGGGACAACAGGGCTGGTGTGAAAGTGGGTAATACACATTATTACCCTACACATTATTATTATGGAGGAGTTCGGAGAGGCCATGGAGAATGACTTACATACGGCTTTGAGGTAATTCTGTTCCACCATCCCACGTCTCAGGGATGGTGGAATGAACCAACACTGTTTATAGTGGGGATGGTGTGCTGCTGACTTCAACTCAGGACGTCGTGGGTCGGTGGGCAGAATACTTTGAAGATGTCCTCAATCCCACCAGCACATCTTCCATTGAGCAAGCGGAGCCTGGGGTCTTTGGGTTGAGCTCTCCAATCTCTGGTGTTGACGTCACCGAGATGGTTAAAAAGCTCCTCGATGGCAGGGCCCCAGGGGTAGATGAGATTCACTAGGAGTTCCTTAAGGCTTTGGATGTTGTAGGATAGTGTTGGCTTACACAACTCTGCAATATTGCATGGATATCCGGGGCAGTTCCCCTGGATTGGCAGACTGGGGTGGTGGTCCCCCTATTCAAAAAGGGGGACTGTAGAGTGTGTTCCAACTACAGGGGGATCGTGCTCTTAAGCCTCCCTGGTAAGGTCTATTCAGGGGTTCTGGAGGGGAGGGTCCTTCAGATAGTCAAACCTCAGATTCAGGAAGAGCAGTGTGGTTTTGGTCCTAGTCATGGAACACTGGACCAGCTCTACACCCTCAGCAGGGTCCTGAAGGGTGCGTGGGAGTTTGCCCAGCCAGTCTGCATGTGCTTTGTTGACTTGGAGAAGGCATTCAACTGTATCCCTTGGGGAACCCTGTGGGGGTACTCCAGGAGTATGGGGTACTAGGCCCTTTGATACGGGCTGTTAGGTCCCTGTATGACCGGTGTCAGAGCTTGGTTTGCATTGCCAGCAATAGGGCTGGGTGATATAGCAAATATACTTGATGTATCAAGATTTTTTCAGTTTACGATGGTTAAAATGGCTCTATCGCAACCATCAAGCATTATTAGACTTGAAAATACGTGTAGTTCTTTTACTCCCATCTACGCCTCCAACTTCACACAGCCCCTTCTTCTCCCTCATTGAATACAAACACAGCACTTCACCGGTGCGCGCTACCCCCGCTTCCTGCTTCTCCAGGTGGGCAGGTTAACACAAGTAAACAGAAGAACAGCTTAACTGCTGTGCAAAAAGAAAACAATGGTTGTTATTTGGAGATGGTTTGGATTTAAATTGTCAGATGAGCAGCAGAAAAATGTTTTCTGTAGACAATGCCAAGAACAAGTCCCGACAAAAGGTCAGAACTATGAATTTTTTTCACCATTTAAAACAGCGCTATAAGTTAAGTTATAAGCTGCAGCTCCGACTGTGTTTTCAGCCTCATTCCATGAAACAAACCATGGTATCAAACTCATAAAACCAGACAACAGATAAGCGGAAGAACATGGATGGATGGATGGGTAAAACATATTAAAACATATATTACTTTATAATTGTATTTAAAATTATAAAATTTTGTCTCCTCAAGTATTCCAACCAGCTGACTATAGCCCCCAATTTAGTATTTTTTTAAAGAATGAATGCTTTTCAATTTTTTAGTGTACAGATTCTTCTAATTCAATCCAATTCAAATTCAAAAATACTTTATTAATCCCAGAGGGAACTTAAATGTTGCTGTAACTCATCATCCTGGTTTCATTAAAGAGTTGATATAGATGCTGATGGCTGAGGGCAGGAAGGATCTCTTGTAGCGTCTGTCCTACAATGGATCTAAAGAAGCCTTTGACAGAAGACACTCTGTTGTTGTATGACAGTCTGATGAAGAGGGTGCTGAGGGTTGTCTACAATGTTCTTCATTTTATGAAGAATCTTTCTTTGAACAATCATCTCCAAAGGTTCTAGAGGAGTCCCCAGAACTGAGCCAGCCTTCTTTATGAGCTTGTTGATCTTTTTTAAATTACTTGATCTGGTGCTGCTACCCCAGCAGATTATGGCAGAAGAGATAGCGCTCTCTACAACAGACTTATAGAAAATATGGAGCAACTTGCTGCAAACATTGAAGGACTTCAGCTTCATCAAGGACTGTTTTTTATGTTTAAGTTATGCAATTTTTTTTTTAAAGAATTGACACTGATATCATCATTAAAAATGCATTTATTGACCTGTAGCTTGGACTGTAATAAATCATAGTCCATTGTATTTCAAGTACCATGCATACATGTACTGTATGTTAAAATTACTGTCATTATAATCAGTTCAGCCCTGTGATGGACTTGCGACCTGTCCAGGGTGTACCCCGCCCCTCGCACAATGATTGCCGGACATGGGCACGACGACCCCCGTGACCCAAAATGGAAGAAGCGGGTAAAAGATAATGGATGGGTTGATGGTTAATCAGTTCAATGGACTCTCACTGACCTAGATGCCCACAACACCTCATCCATCCATCCATCTTCTGCTGCTTATCCATAATCAGGTCTCAGAAGCAGCAGGTCCAGGAAAGAAACCCAGACATCCCTCTCCTCAGCAACACTTTTCAGCTAATTCTGGAGGGACCCCAATGTGTTCCCAGGTAGAGAAGATACAGCGACCTCTGGGTCTTCCCCGGGGTCTCCTACCAGTATGATGGGCTTGTAAAACATCTAAAGGGAGGCGGTAAAGAGGCATCCTAATCAAATGCCCCCAACCACCTCAACTGACTCCTTCCAATGTAGAGGAGCAGCGGCTCTACTTGGAGCTCTCCCTAGATGATGGAGCTCCTGACCTTATCTGTCAGGGAGCCCAGCTACCCTGCGAAGGAAGCCCATTTCAGCCACTTGTATCCTCAACCTCATTCTTTCAGCTATGATCCAAATCACATGACCATAGGTGAGGGCTAGAATGTAGACAGATCAGTAAAATGAGAGCTTTGCCTTTTGACTCAGCTTTTTTTTGTACCACAACTGACTGAAGCAATG